AAGGCCAGGATGACATTCCCCTGGACTTTATGTATTTCTGGGAAGAACGTGTCAAGTGGGGATTGGGTCCGGTCTGGGTGGAGATGGAGCCGGGAAGGCTTAAAAGAAAGACATGTCCACACTTGGCTGGGGATGAAGAAGGGGCTGCACTCTGACCAGAGAGAGCGATAGAGAACCAGCCTAGGGAAAGGAAGAGGACCCAGGTGCCAGAAACCCCTCCCTTTAAGGCTATCAAAAGCCAAACTTTCTTCCAGTAGGGTGGTAGAAGGCAAGAATCCCATACTGGGGGGGGGGGGTTGCAGGGAACTTCACAACATGGTGGAGACTGCGGGCAGCACCCTTACCAGGAGGCACCCCCAATCCCATGTTCTGGCACTGCCAGGCTTGTCCAACAGCCGCCCATTATTCCAGCTTCCTGTGTTGCTAGCAAATGCAGTGGTGGAGACTCCATAAGAAGTATCCTTCACTAGTGCCCCAATGAAGGCTGCTGCCATAGTGGACGGCCCAGTTTGGACAATGGCTGGCCAGGCACCAGGAACACATCATTTATGAGGTAGGTCAACAGCATTGCGAGAGTCAAGCCCTCCCTGGTACAGAACCTTTACCATGCCTCTGCTTGCAGCCAGATGATGCTCTCAATGGGATCTGCGGGACCCCAGACGGCTCAAAAAGAAGACGGTAGAAGAGGATAAGGAGAGCAGCTCACATAGACTGCACTCTACACATGTGGGTAATGGGGCCATTACCATGAGATTGTCCAGTAATGGAATATGATGCGGGCTGGGAGACGGCCATGCAGGTAACATTCAGGGCCTCCTGGCCTTCTCCACAGGTAGTAATGGTCAGAACTGCTGGGCAGCGCCTCTCTGCACTGCTGGCTACCGAGACAAGCCAACTTACCCATCCAGCAGATGGCTTCCACTCTCTGCTTCCACCATCGCATGGAGAAGTGCCCAGTAGTGTGGGTCGTGAAATGTACCACAGCCAGACCAAGTAGACAGCTGGAGACCACTCAGACCAGAGAAAGAGAGAGAGCAATTGAGAGCCAGCCCGGGGAAAGCGGGAGGACCGGGGTGTCAAAACCCCTTCCCCTTCTCAATTCTGAGGCCATCAGAAGTCATTCTCTCCTCCAGTAAGTTGGCAGAAGGCGAGGACCCTGCCCCAGGGCGCTAGGAACCTCAAGATTCCCATGTGCTGGTTCCCCGGGCATTTCAAGTAAGAGAAGCTATCTTGCAAGCAGATCTGAATGTTAGGAAGACTGAACATTTCCAACTTGCTCATTCTGTGGCTTTCCTTGAGGAAACCTCTCCAGGAATCATCTCAAGGAAACCAACCCTGAGAGGATTGTGCCAAAGTTCCAGCTGCTTCTTGAGCTGGATCCCGCCCTCTGATGCTCTTCAAACTCACAAGGAGATTCCTTCTCAGCTCTCTATGTACGTAGACCATGTATGCATGAAGGGTCATGCCAAGGAGCAAAGAGTCATCGGTGAGAAGGGCTGGCCTATGTCCCGATGACCCCATTAGTCATATGGAACGCTCTCTTCGATCCATTTCAGATAGGCTGGGTTTCCTTGGTCAATGAGAAGGCTGATTATTTCAGGGGCTTCGAAGGGATGCATGGATCTGAGAGAGGAGACACACACAGGTAACGTGAATGTTTCTAGCTGAAGTAAAACCCATGAGTAGGAGTAGTTGCAAAATACAAGAACAGGATTTTGAACAGAGGCTAGATGGCCATCTAACAGCAATGCTGATTCTGTGAACTTAGGCAGGTCATGAGAGGGAGGGCAGGAAGGGTTGCCTCAGTGCTGAGTTCTTGTGGTCCTTTCTTACATGCCCATGGAAATGCTGATTGCCACTTTGGGGTCAGGTAAGCAATTTTTCTCCAGGTCCATTTGGCTGGAGATCCTGGAGGTTTTTTGTCATCTTCTGGGCATGGAACAGGAGTCACTGGGGTGTTTGGGGGGGTGTTGTGTTTGTGAATTTCCTGCACTGCACAGGTGGTTGGACTAGATGACCCTGGAGGTTCCTTCCAACTCTATGATTCTAGATGTTATATTGATATTTTTTTTGTTATGCACTGCCTCAAGCAGGTATCTGGACATTTTGTAAATTAAATTAAAATATGTCAAGAGTATTCCACCCTGGTGCACGATACAAATGACAAATTAGGCACACTTTTTTTAAAACTTGAAGGTTCTAGCCCTCATGGGTGCAGAGAAGTTCTTTGAGAAACCTTACTTGATCTCAACTCATTTTTCTTTAACCATTGGAGGAACCTCACCTGATATAGTCTGACAACTCCCTGATTTTAGATGTCCTTGTTTTCACTAGCTGAAACGGAAAGAGAAAGCAAGTTGGTTAGGCACGGCCAGGGCATAATGATAACGTCTTCGGCAGAGCTGGCCTCAGCACACCATTTCTGAAGCTGGTGGAGCTGAAAGGAAATGTTGGATCCTTAGGAATTTGCTGAGATTTCAGAATTCAGCTCTGTCTTTTAGAAATCAATGCAGGACAGCATCCAAAACAGGGGACAACTAATAACAACTACCAGGGCTTTTTTTGTAGAAAAAGCCCAGCAGGAACTCATTAGCATAAGGAACTCATTAGCATATTAGGCCACACCCCCATGTTGCCAGAAGTGTGGTCATCCAGCCACACCCACCTTTTGCTTCTTATTCTGTTTACCTTGTTTGTTGTCAAAACCCAGGGCTTTTTTTGGAGCAGGAACTCCTTTGCATGTTAGGCCACACACCCCTAATGTAGCCAATCCTAATGAGTTCCTGCTGTTGGGTGTGGCCTATTATGCTAATGAGTTCCTGCTGGGTGTGGCCAACTTGGGAGCCAGCCAGAACTCCGTTCCTGCCCAAAAATAGCCCTGACAACTACTAATAACAACTAGGCACTTTATATTAACTCCAACAACCTGTGATATATTGGATACTGACTATGGCCATACTTTGCTATCATTTTATTATAGGGTTGCCAGCCTCCAGGTGGGGCCTGGAGATCTCCCACTTTTACAACTGGTCTCCAGCTGACAGAGATCAGCTCCCCTGGAGAAAATGGCTGTTTTGAAGGGTGGACTCTATGGCACTGTTCCATGCTGAGGCCTCTCCCCTCCCCAAACCCCGCCCTCTCCTGGATCCACCCCCAAAGTCTCCAGTGGGAAAGCTGTGGCTGATCCTGCATCCCTACCAACCGAAGGACTAACATACCCTTCTCCGATACTTACCAGAAGTATCTCTGTAGCTTCTTCAATCTCCCCTTTCCAAAAATACCTATATAAAAAGCCAAAAAGAAAGCTACCATTAAAAAAAAAACCCCATGCAGATATGTTATTCTTTTGGAGCAGTCAAATGGACTCTGTGTTGGACTCACATGGTTGAAGTTTTGGGGAGGATGTTCACACAAGCAGCCAGCTTCCGGTCCATAATCGCCCTAGGAGAAGCAGACAAAGTTCATGCACCTGCAAGCATCCTCCGTCCAGACTTAGCAATGTGATTCATACTGTGCTGTGGAGTTCAGCTTTAATTTCTACCTACTGTTATGATTACTATGAGCCGGTGGGTTGTGCAGAATCTGCAGGATGAGTTAAAGCGATCAGCCCTCCACCCAAGCATCTGTCTCCAAAATTCTCTAGGATTTCAGGGGCTTAAGGAGGCTGATTTCTCTCCTCTCACTAGGGTTGCCAGCTCCAGGTTGGGAAATCCCTGGAGATTTGGGGGGGGGGGGTCTGAGGAGGGCAGGGTTTGGGAAGGGGGGGATTTCAGTGGGGTATAATGCCATAGAGTCCACCTTCCAAAGCAGCCGTTTTCTCCAGATGAACTGTTCTTTGTTGCCTGGAAATCAGTTGTAATCCCAGATCTCCAGCCACCACCTAGATGTTGGCAACTCTACCTCCTGCCTTTTCCTCCTCTGACATTTAGCCAATCTCAACCTTTTGTTCCTCATGCTAAGTACTCATCGCACTGTTTTTTTTTAATTTATAAAGCCATTTTCCTGCAAGTTTATGGAGTCCTATGAGTACGCAGAGACTCACTGTCTAAGTGGCCCCCTTGTGTGGCTTTTGTCATCTGCACAGGGGCCAGCCAGTTTATCAGAGATACGGTGGCAATGGCTATGATGCTGATGATCGTTTATAGAGGACTATTGGTGTATAGATCAATTATAAAGGACTATTGGCTGTGGTGGCTCAGTGGTTAAGATGCTGAACTGCAGACCAGAAGGTCGGTAGCTCAGCAGTTCGAGACCCGAGTGCCACATGATGGCGTGAGCTCCCGTCTCTGGTCCCAGCTCCTGCCAACCTAGCAGTTCGAAAGCAAGAAATTGCAAATAGATAAATAGGTACCGCTTTGGTCGGAAGGTAACAGCATTCCGTGCGCCTTGGTGTTTAGTCACCAAGTGTCTAGAGAGCCAGTTTGGTATAGTGGTTAAGCGCGTGGACTCTAATCTGGGAGAACCGGGTTTGATTCCCCACTCCTCAACTTGCACCTGCTGGATGACCTTGGGCAAGCCATAGTTCTGATAAGAGCTGTTCTTGAAAAAAGAGCAGTTTCTGTCAGAGCTCTCTCAGCCCCACCTACCTCACAGGGTGTCTGTTGTGGGGAGGGGAAGGGAAAGGAGTTTGTAAGCCGCTCTGAGACACCTTTGGGTAGAGAAGGGTGGGGTATAAATCAAATCTCTTCTTCTTCTTCTTCTTCTAGTCATGCTGGCCACATGACCATGGAAATGTCTTCGGACAGCACTGGCTCTTTGGCTTGGAAACGGAGATGAGCACCGTGCCCCTAGAGTCGGATTTGACTGGCTTTCGAGCAAGGGAAACCTTTACCTTTACTATTGGTGTACAGAATCCAGACATCGCCTTAATGCATCGACCGATACTCTATAAACTCTATGGTATTTCCATGGAATGTCCAAAGTGTTAGCTGATGTCTGAAGTTTCCCCACCACCACTGTTTCTTCCACCGGCCCAAGAGACAAGGGCTTTGGCAGGAGAATGCCCACCCAAAGCAGGCGCCTGGCATGTGTAGCTTCAATGGCAATCTTCAAGAGACATCTGACAGTACAGCTTATTAGGCACCTTTCCTGGTCCCTGGGAGCAGGGGTCACACTGGGAGTTCAAACAGGAAACATGGAATGATGTCCTGAAAATGTGTACCAATATCTCCATTCTCCATTTCATTTATTAGCTTCATTGACCTGAGGTCTTAAGCCAAACATGCAAACAGCAACTATAAAATGCATTACATATAATTACAAGAAATGATAAAAATTTAGACCGAACGTCTTTACAATAAAAGCTAGTAAATATGCTCTCGATCAGTAATATCAGACCACATTTTATAAACTTAAATGAATTCTATAAAATCCCATGATATTATGGAAATTAGTTTTAAAATTTTAAAATTGTAAACAAAAGGTACTTATAACATTTCAAAGCCAGTATCTCTGTTTTTAAAGGAGACATTGTATTTTAAAGTATTTTACATTTTTTTCCTTTTAATCCCCCCCCCTTTCCTACAGGAAACTGTGCTCAGCCAACAAATTTAAATCCATGCCAAAAATAAAATAAAAAATCAGACTCTTCTTGAAGTGTGTTGATCAGTTGATTCTGTGTCTGTTTACACCATGGCTGACCTTGTGGTCTGTCCCATGGCTCAACTCAATCAGCAAGTTGCGTGTTTGCCAGATATTACTCGGGTAAAAATATCCACTCGTACCCCCAGCCCAACTTTTTTTTTTGAGCTGCTTATTTTTGTGACCCTCTGCCTCATTTTTTATTGTTTTCTCACCCTCTGCTTTTATATTGGACTTCTGTTCTGTTTTTGGGGTTGTTTCAGGGTTACACAATGCACCGATTTTAAGGCTGTGACAGTTCCCCCCGCCCAACAACATGTATGCTTCTTTTCTTATATTGGTTTCCATGGCAAATCGACTTTCAATTTCTATTCTGTTTAGAGTTGCCAACCTCCAGGTGGGGCCTGGAGATCGCCCACTATTACAGTCTCCAGGCAATAGAGATCAATTCCCACAGAGAAAATGGCTGCTTCGGAGAGTAGACTCTATGGCATTGGACCCTGCTGAAATCCCTTCCCTCCCCAAACCCCGTCCTCCCCCCAATGTTCCAGTTACTTCCCCACCCAGAACTGGCCACTCTACTTCTGTTAGCTGATTGGCTTTTACAGTGCTATCTAATGCGAGTAGGGTTGCCAAGTCGTACCTCGTCCTGAAGCGGGGGACTCCTGGGCCGATCACCAGGAAGTGACGAGACCACGCCGGGCACACTGGGGGCGGGGCCACGACCATCCGAGGGAAAACCATAGAGTTTTCCCTCGGATGACCGTGGCCTGTGGCCTGTGTGCCGTGGCCAGCGTGCCTGGCATGGTCACGTCACGTCATGGTGACGTGCACGTCAGGGTGAAGTTCCCCCCGGGGCCCGATCTGGCGGCGGCGGGGAACGGGCCTCTGGGGGGACTTGGCAAGCCTAAATGCGAGTTACCCCCTCTAACTTTACTGAAGTCAATGAGCTCAGAGGGTGCAACTTGGCTTACAAGTGTCCTGTGAATTACCTTTTGTACTATTGTGAGTTAATCACTTTTGGATATTTATTATTTTATGATCTAGATTGTGATGAGCTTATTGTTTATTAGCTACCTTAAGAATCTTTTCACTGAGAGTTGCCACCCCAAATATAAAATCATATCAGATATTCACCAGCCAGAGTGCTAGCAGGAAATTATGTAAAAATATTCTGCAGTCGGAGCAGCTACAAAAGCCAGTGTTCTCCATTCAATCTTCCGTCAGCTGCTTTCTTATCTGTAATATCAGACCTCCTTTCTGGGTCTGTTTATAGACTGAAGGCCTTTTTTATTCTACTGCTTTCAGGTCATACGACCACAAGAACGCTTGTGACTAGTAGACCAGCTGCTGCTCCACACCCAAGGAAACGGGGCAGATAAAAAATGGATGCATTTATGCAAAATATCTTGGGGTGTGGCTGCTCTTGCCAGGAGATGCTGGTCTGCAGACACATCCCAGCTCCAATTCCAAAATCTGCAAAACTCACCAACAAAGCAGGCCAGCAAAGGACATACTGATTGGGATCTCCTAGGTGTTTTAAAAATAACCTGATGAGCAGCCCCACTTAGCTGCGAGGAAGATCAGGGAAGGGCTAGGGACCCTGATGGGTCAGTTGTCTGACTCAATATAAAGCAGCTCCATAAGGTGCAGTTCTCCCGCATGTCATTTAAATCACCTTTTAGCCTTTTCTGTTATGTCAACTCCAAATATAAGGGCCAAATAGGAAGTTGGATCCTGCAAGTCAGGAAAACTCACTTGAAAAAGGGCTGTACAGTTCAATAGGTGAGTATGAGGCTTTGCATGTCAAAGGTCCTGCATTCCGATCTACAGTTCAAGCTTCTCAAAGGAGAGCTTGAATGGACAGCCAGTCCAGTGTAGGTGTAGAATCTGAGCAACCTATATCTTCTAGGTCTCCCACTTCAGCAAGAGACCTCCTGCTAGCGGCTCCCAATCCCTGCTGCTGGTGAGGATGGGGAAATGGAGCAAAAATCATTGTTATGGCAAAGTCATGACATCACTTCCAGTGTGAAACCATAGAGTTTCCATTACTCCTGGGAGTAATGTCACCATGTCGAGTGACACTCCAGAAAATTCCTAGAGTGTCACTTGGCATGGTGACATCACTTCTGGGTCTTCACCTGGAAGGGATATTACTGCATTAAGCAATGTCCGTCTGTCCCCACCGCCACCATTTCTTTACCATCACTCTAGTGAGCACAGTCGGGGACGGGAGGCATTGCCAGTAGTTTGCCTGCTATGAGCTGGCAAATGGTATGCCTAATTGGGTCCTACTTTAATTTTGTTTGTGAGAAATGAACCTATGAGTCTTTATTTTCACACTACATCCTCTTTTCCTCATACTGAATTTCTCCTTTGAAGATTAGCACACTTTCCCTCTCAAGATGAGGGTCTACATCTTAGTAGTAGAGCATCTGCTTGGCATGCAGAAGGTCCCAGGTTCAATTCTGGGCATCTCCAGTTATAAGAAGAGGAGGAGGAGGAGGAGGAGGAGATTGGATTTATGACCCACCCTTCACTTGGAGTCTCAGAGCGGCTTACAAACTCCTTTCCCTTCCCCTCCCCACAACAGGCACCCTGTGAGGTGGGTGGGGCTGAGAGAGCTCTGACAAGGACAGCTGTGCCAGAGCTTGTGACTGACCCAAGGTCACATCAGCAGGTGCAAGTAGAGGAGTGGGGATTAGGTAGTAGGTGATGTGAAAGACCTCAGCCTGAAACCTTGGAAAGCTGCAGCCAGTCAGAGTCAACAAGACCAACCTTGACAGATCAAGGGTCTGACTTCATGTGTTGCATATTATTTTTGTTATCAGGAGCATCTCAATGGCATGAAAATTGCATCATTTTCACCTTCAAATAACAGAAGACCCAAACAAAACAAGAATAGCTAAATCAGCTAATCTCTGATGAGATCTATTGTATGCGTTCTCAAGTGTAGGGCAGGTTGTGGGGTTTGTGTAGACGGAGGTTAAATGGAGGGTGAATAATTAACCAATGGGAGCTATCAAGAGCGTGATCACTGGCAACCAGTTGGTTTGAAAAAATATCCTTTCCCCCAGTAAACTACAGAGATTTGACCTTCTAATTAGTTAGTTCTTATACTGTCTCGTGTGTATTTGTTAACTCTTTGCATACCCCTCCCGGAATTTTCAGTGAAGCAAAAAAAGGACCCTGAGCAAAACCTCAGGACCCCGAGGTCTTTTTTTGTGTGCGTGCCCGCAGACTCTTCTTACTACTCATTGAACTGGGCAGCAGGGGAGTGAACAGCCGCTCAGTTTACAAAGAGGTACCCTGGGAGGAACTCCCCCCTTCTCAGTAAACAGCTCCTTCATCAACAGAGAAGCAGTGTTCGAAACAGAGGGGACCATTCAAAGCAGCTCCAAGCTGGAAGTGGGGTGGAACGCTAATGCACAGAGCACCGGGCAAACAGGAAAACTTTCCCGAAGAAATTGCAAAGGTGTGCTCCCCCTCACCCAGCGGCACTTGATGGGACATGTACAGGACTGTTACCAGTTTTAACTCTACAGCGTCGAAGCACACAAGCACCAAAATTAGGCGAAGAATTCAGCATCTGGAGAATCTAAGCACACCTTACAAAACAAAACAAGTTTCTTTGCTATATGCCTTCAGTCACTGTCCTTTTTAAAAAAAGCAAGTTTCTAGCCTACACAGCTGTGGCTTTCTATAAAGCAAAAGGCTTCTGGTCTGGATAGCTTCAATTCTTTTGAGGACAGCAAGTTTCTAGTCTACCTGCCTGCAAAAGTAGTCTTGAAAGTGAGGGAGGGGGAAAGGGCCTGGATAGGATTTTCAAGGGTTCCAATCAGGGGCCTTCAGTGTCCTGCGTAGCTCCTTCTCGTGATTAACAAAATGAATCATAAACATTGCACACAGAAGGAAATATCTGCAATTAGCATAATTCACAGAGATGTAACGCTGGGAGTTTCTTTGTCTGCAATATTATGGTTAGGGGTTTTTTTTAAGTCTCAGAGGAGGGGTGGCCCAACCATACAGGTAGACTTGGCATGGAGCACACATGCCTCTTATTCCATCCTCCATCCTCATTGGCAGTACAAGGGAGAACACACAAGGTGCCAGGGTAGATGGGACCAACATTTTAAATGGCTCAGCTGGCAAAGAACCTTGGGCTGGCCCAGGCCCAGAACACAGAACACTTTGTGTTCAGAAGCTGACAGTCCTCTCTGAGGATTAGCTAGGCTGAATATTTAAAGACACAACAACCGAATGGCAGGAAAAAAAGCCTGTGGTGATAGGATCCCTGCAGCTCTCTCCAAAGGGATTTCCACCAAATGCAAACTACCTTCAGCTCCATTTGCCCCTTGGCCACTGATTTTGGTTGGGCATCCCTAGGGCACTGGTGGAGAAAACCTTCCACTTCCTGGCCCTGATTTATAAAAGGAGGGGTGACGGGATTTGTGCCTGCCTGGACACCTACCTGCCCTTCTGCCCGAAGAGCCCTATGTCCCCCAGATTTTCTGCCAGAACCTGTTGCATTTATTCTCCGTCACCTTACATAGCTGTAGTTTTATACAACCGCAATTTTGTTTTTGCATGCGCTTCAATCAAATTTGAATTTAAAATCTTTAAAAAGTTTACATCCTCTTAAAAGAAGGAGGGTCTTCACAGATGGGGAAAGATGGTGGTGCTCAGTGGGGGTTGCTGAAGGTGAAATGGTGGGGTTACAAAGCCAAGGCTAACAGTCCTTGTAAGATAGATCCGGATGGGCAGCCGTGTTGGTCTGAAGCAACAGGACAAAGTCTGAGTCCAGTGGCACCTTGAAGACCAACAAGCCTTAATTCTGGGTATAAGCTTTCATGTGCACGCTACTAGTCCTTGCAAGGAACAACTGGTGTGGCCCTGACCTGGATAGCCCAGACAAGCCCGATCTCATCAGATCTCGGAAGCTAAGCAGGGCTGGCCCTGGATAACAACTGGATGGGAAACCTCCAAGGAATGCCAAGGTCATGACGCAGAAGCAGGCCTGACACTCCTGGTCTGACTCTCTAACCATGCTTTGTCTCACTGGCTTGGGCTGCGGGATACCTATGTATGTGTTAAATGTATTTCTGTGCCATAGTTCACACATACAGGAGACTCTGATGGGAATAAGATGGTAGAATGGACTGTACCACTTCAGAGTCGGGGGTGGGTGGGTGGGTGGGTGGGAATCCCACCTTTGAACGTCCCTTGCCTTCAGGCCCCACTAGGGGTCACCAGAGATCAGTTTGACTTGATGGCAAAAAAGAAAAAGAAACACCCAGTGTGATGTCATGGTTGGCATTTCAAACTAGGATTGGGGAGACCTCAGTTCAAAGCCCATATAGCTTACTGGGTAATTTGGGGCCACCTTAACCTACCTTGCACGGTTACTGTGAGGATAAAATCAGAGAGTGGGGATCCATGCGTGCTTTTCTAAGCTCTCTGGAAGAAGAGTACAATATATTTTTTTTAAATCTGATCAACAGATACTTCACTGCTTCATAGATTCCAGTGCTGAAGACTGACCCGGAAAACAAATTTGAAGCTAAACTTTGGCTCCAAATAAGCCTTGAATGGCCTCTGTTTGCATTGCTCCGAGTAAACGCTCTGCAGACAAGCTGCCTGGTGGTTTGTCAACAAGGACTTCAATTATTCATAGTGCACAAGACAGGAGAACATGTCTGTCACCCTACCTTGCAATATCTCTTGCAATCTGTTCATTGGGGCAGTTGACGAATGCCACAGAATGAGTCCCAGAGATGTAGCTGCCAGTCAACGCTGCGTGCAGCTGAAGGCCGATTGTTCTCAACACCGGACACATCAGCAAAGATAAACTCATGGCCTAGGGAAGGTGGGGAAAGTTGGTCAGTTAAGGAACCAGCTGGAAGAGGCTCAAAAGTCTCGGAGGAAAGCTGGAATAGCAAATTTAATTGACAAAATAGATGTACTTTTCCCCCTCAATTAAAATTAGGGACGCTCATCAACCCCAAACAAATTACTTTTATAGGGTGTGAATTTTAGCAGCCCCCAGACCTGTGTTTCTGCTTGGGAAGAAGGCATGCCCAGAGCAGTGACTCATACAGAGATGCATATGGACCCTCCCCTGTCAATGTCTTGGGTGTAGATTTGCCTCTAGTGTATTGTACATAGGACAGGCGGCAATGCCAGCTGAGTCTACCATACAGCCAAGTCCATCATGGAGCATTATGCTTCTACTTGGGTTGGCCTATCCATCAGTCACATGAGATGCCCTGAGTTCAAGAAAATGTGTCCTCCCAACACACCTAGGTAGTAAGCCCTGCTCAGTGGCCCAAGGTCACCCAATTAGTTGGGTGGCGAAACAGGGATTCAAACCCAGGGACAGGGACTCCAAGGCAGGTGCAAGGCTTATTACCATGCTATGATTTATTTCTATTGTTTCAGAAGTTTAAAAACTCTCAGGACTCATGAGAGTGTTGGGTGGGACGGGATTGTACAAGTGATACGGGTCTGCATCACCCCAGAGAAATTATGCTTGGGCTTTACTGTTGTACCTTTGAGAAGGGAAAAAAATCTATTCCCTTGTATCTTTTTCCTGCCACAGAGATAGGACAAAATGTTCCATGGTTATTCTAGAAAATGTGCAAAACACTTCATTTCTACCCTGGCTTTCTTGCCAAAGTGGACCAACACACCTTACCTTGCTCTCCTCCATTTTATCCTAACAACCCTGTGAAGGCTGAGAGCGTTTGACCGGCCCAAGGTCACCCAGAGTGTTTCCATGGCAGAGTGGGGATTTGAACCTGAGTTTTACCAAACCTGGTCTGACCCTCTAGCCATGCTTTGTCTCACTGGCTTGGGCTGCGGGATCCCTCTGTATGTGTTAAATGTATTTCTGTGCCACAGTTCATACAAACAGGAGAATTTGATGGGAATAAGATGGTAGAATGGACTGTACCACTTCAGAGTCGGGGGGGGGGGAGAGTGGGAATTCCAGATTTCAATGTCTCTTTGCATATAAGAATCCAGTGTAAATAGAAAACTCGTATGGCAGGAAGTACCCATCTCTTGGCTTGCTGTCCTGATGATTTCTGTTTACAGGGAGGTTTTTGTTTGTTTCTTTGTTTTTTAAAAGTAGGGGATCGCTCCAAAATGTAATCCATCACTTACAGCCTGGTGCAGTCCATTTTAGCTTCTCATCATCCTACCACCTCATGTTCCTAGATGCACAATCTAGGCCTGAGAAAGACCTCCTAATTTATAACTGCACGACAAATTAATCACTGAACTTTTATCTTATGCTAAACCTTGAAAATACTATTAAAACGAAACAATGCTTTAAATAAATATTTTCAGTCATGGTTGATATGGGGGCTACTATTGAACAACAAAAAAGGAATATTATGTTTAAACAGTGTATAAACTTTAAAAGATTTCAGTTTTGTCAGAGATGCAGTGACCTTAAATCTATGCTCATCCTATGGGCAAAAAACAGCATTCGGCTTCCAGAAATTAGATGCAACGTTACTAACCAAACACACTGAAACATTATATATAATGGGATAATCAATCTCGCTCAGTATTATTCAATTTTCTTCCAAGGAGACTAGATTTTCATTTCTGAGATGAGATCACCCGTTGTTATAACATTAAAGTGGGGAAGAGTCCTGTGATGACGTTTCCTCTATTTTTTTTAAATGAAAAATTGTACTTAGCCCTGATTTTAGGACTTTCTTCGGTATTCTGACGTGCCATCCTATCCTAAACAGATTTACACCCTTCTAAATCTACTGAAGTCAATGGCGTAACTGTAAGGATTGCACTGTTGGTCTATTTCATACCCCTTCTTTCTTCTGAAAGAATACAGAGATCGATATGCCTGTGAAACTTACCAGCAGCAGAGTGAAGCATCCTGAGCGGGAGTTGGAAGGAGCCAGAAGCGCCTGGAAACGCTGGATTAACCAATCTATTTTCAACATCCTTCTCCTTTCTCCGTCTCCCCCCCCCCCCCCCCCCCCCCGTCTAGAACACGGTTTAAATTGCTGCGCCCCTCCCTGCTCTCCTCCACCTTTACACGCTCGATCTGCTCAGGGGTTCGCTGGAAAAGTTGGCTGTTCGGCTTTGCAATGGAAATGCAACGCGAGCGGGCGACTCGCAGTCCCCGCCCCACAGCAGCTGGGATCCGCCTCTCTTCTCTACTCGACTTCTCCGTGCATTTTGCTCCCCCGCCCCTTACCCTCGCCAGCCATCCTGACAAGACTGTTTTAGGCGCGCTAGTTCTGGTGTTCGTTTTTTTTTTTTGGTCATGAAAACTGTGCATGTGTATGTTCAGTAACTTCTCTCTACCCAGAGCTGTTAATTTGGGCTTCCTTCTTGAGAAGTGTTCTCAGGATTGCACTCAGCCAGGTTTTACTGCTTTGGCTTTTCATCATGTCTTTCACTGTGAGGGCCTGGCGGGGTCGCAAAGAGTCGGACTCGACTGTGTGACTGAACAACAACAACAACATATTTGTATTGTAAGGAGTATTTGAGCTAATTTTAGTAGATTCCAGACCAGTTCCTTCCTGGCACTCATAATATCCATCGAAGACAGTTGGTGGATTGGAAACCAAAGTGTAGTTTATTATCAAATTACTTATTGTTCAAATATATATATATGTTGTTTTATTTTTACTTTGCTTATATGCCTCTCCCCAGTTGGGATCCAAAGCAGCATAGTCATTCTCCTCTTCTCCATTTTATCCTCACAACAACAACCCTATGAGGCAGGTTAGACTGAGACTGTGTGACTGGCCCAAGCTCACCCAGCAAGCATCCATGGCAGAAGGGATTTGAACCTGGGCCACAGAAGATTTCTTCAACTAAAAGTGTGTTAAGATATACTCATCTGACAAGTCAGACATTTATTTGCTCTCGTCCATGATTGTCTTCTATGACCAGAAGCGGCTTCTTAGTGCGTTCCCAACATGTGTAGGTTCAGACTGGATCTGGAGATGTCAGGGGCAATGCTCCCTCTAAACTGTGGAGTCTTGTGAGCAAACATTCTGCTTTATGAGCTACTGGCATTACAGTTGTGAGCAAGTGATTTGGCTGCTGCATAAATGAGTCTGCTCTGGAGCCATCCTTCCCGAGCTAAGACAAAAATGTGTGAGCCGGAGGCTAAAAAACTGTGAGCTAGCTCACACTAACTCATCTTAGAGGGAACACTGGTCAGGGGCTGAACTTGGGTCCTTCTGTGTACAAAACATTGGCTTTCTGTTTGAACCACAGCCATCTTGGCTACAAAACTGTAATCTCCTGAGGATAACCATGCTTTGCAGAATGATTGTGCCCATGACCCACCAGATTATGTCCAGTTTAACCAGGAAACTATCAGTGGTTCTGGATATAGTGGGGAAAGGATCAAGGATTATCAGCTGTGGATTTCAAAGGAAGTCAATCCAGTTCTTTTGTGAAGGGCTAAGAAAATATTATTACCAATGATCTCTCACAAGGACCAGGGGTCGTTTAGTAGAAAAAGAGCTAGGGGGACTCATTAGCATAACTCATTAGCATATGACACACACCCTGACATCACCGGAAGTGTGTCATAAGGCCACACCCCCTGACTTCACTGGAAGTGTGTCATAAGGCCACACACCCCACCCCCAACGGATAGAGTCAATATATTGTGAACAATGGGCAAAAATTATAGTCAATGGAGATCTAACCCAAAGGATCCCTATAGAAAAAGGGACAAGACAAGGGTGCCCACTCTCCCCTTTATTATTTATATTTGGCTTGGAGACATTAAATGATATCGTGAGATCCAACGAGGACATAAGGGGCCTCAAATTGAAAGGAGAACATTTCAAATTATTGGCCTTTGCTGATGATTTAGTTTTCATTTTGGAAGAACCGGCATCATCAATCAGAAACTTATTAACAACAATACAGCAGTATGGGACTGTAGCAGGACTTAAAATAAACATGAATAAGACGAAACTAGTGACAAAAAACTGCACAATAAGAGATAAAAAAGAAATTCAAGAAAATACAAAACTAGAAATAGTAAAAAAGTAAAATATCTAGGTATTAATATTACAAATAATAACGCTAACCTGTATGAAAATAATTATAAAGCTATACTAGAGGAAATTAAAAAAGATCTACAAAGATGGCAAGACCTACAAATATCATTTATGGGAAGAATATCCACGATAAAGATGAATATACTACCACGTATTATTTTCCTAGTGCAATGTATCCCAATCCTTAAAAATAAAAAATTTAATGAGGAATTAAATAAACTGACAAGAAAATTCATTTGGCAAGGGAAAAAAGCCAGAATAAAACTAAAATTCCTAAGAGAAAATAAATCGAGAGGAGGGTTGGCCTTTCCGGATTGGAACTTATACTACCAAGCAGCAGCATTAGGATGGATAAAAGAATGGGCTTTGAAGGGTGGACTCAATGGCATTGCACCAGGCTGAGGCCCCTCCCCTCCCCAAACCCCACCCTCTCCCGGATCCACCCCCAAAGTCTCCAAGCATTTTCCAACCCAGACCTGGCAACCCTAATCACAAGCTCCCCCACCTTTGGTTTGGCTGCCTGGGGGGGATTTTTAAAATTATTATTATTAATAACCTGAATCCCCAATGCTAACAAAGAAATGCACAAAGATTAGTGATCAGTGTATAAACTGAATTGTTATGGAAATGAATATGACTAATACTAGTGTGGCCAGTGTTAAACCATAATGTGCACATTTTAGAAAGCAACTGAATTTCCATCTGCCCAGCTTTTAGCTTATGTTTCCTGCAATTGTTGTTTGTAATAGTTACTTCTATGCATAGGCAAGAAATAAATGATACTGTCATGATACTTTAAAATCAGTGTTTTAGATTGTACTTGTTTTTGTGAGACTTGTGCAGGAGAACCTGATAGATTGAGTTCTGGATCTGTGATATATAATCTATCCATTCCTAAATATTAAGGACTGAAAATAATTAAACAAAAATTGGCTACACATGGGCTGGCATGCCTATTTGTGGTATGATAAAGATAATATACAAAAAAACTTTTTAAATCATATAGTCAGAGGACCACTAATGCAAATATGGAGACAGATAAAAGAAAAAAGTTACGTAAAAACACCAAAGTGGATATCTCCTATTGAGGCCTTTGTAATGCCATCATTAATGAATGAAGGAAAAAATATATCTTATAAGATCTTACTAAATGAACAAAATGAACTTAAGTCCTGGGAAGCCTTGCAGGACATGCACGTAAATCTTTCAATATGGGAAAAAAACCAACTAATCTCAAGATTCACTAGAGATAAAAAACTAGGTTTCCATGATAAAGAAACACAACTAGAAAAAATCTGGTTACGAGAGACAGATAAACAGATTGGGAAAATATATAATTTACTACTAGAAGAAGAACTAAAAGATGATTGGAAAAAACCCTCCATGATTAAATGGGAAAATGATTTAGGTCGGAAAATAGAGAGAGAAGAATGGGAAAAATCGTGGAAATCAATTAAATTGCTAAGAGCAACTCCGTATAAGGAAAACATAATAAAAATGATATACAGGTGGCACTGGACCCCAGATAGGCTCCAAAAGTGCTATACAAATGTTTCAGGAAACTGTTGCAGGTGCAACAACAATAGAGGAACGCATTTACACATTTGGTGGAAATGCGAGAAAGTGCAGAGATTCTGGAAAAGTACCAAGCAATTGATAAAAGATATAACAGAAATAGACTTACCCCTGAACCCAGAAATCTTTTTGTTAAATATTACACCCAACGGTATTAAATATAATGAACATGTATCATTGTATATTTAACTACAATGGCAAGAATCTGTATTGCTAGAAACTGGAAATCGGATAATATACCAAATAAGAAAGATCTGATAAATAAGCCCTTTGAGGTATTAGAGATGGATAAATTAAATATGTTTTTGGCTGGAAAGTTGGATGATAAATTTAACCAGAAATGGCACAAAGCCATAAAATGGTATGAGGAAAAATTTGTAAATTAACCCCCAAATGTTAATATTAAGAGACAAATGAATGTATGTATAATATGGAAAAATGTAAATAAACATTTTTTTTAAAAAAAGGGAAGTGTGTCATAAGGCCACACACCCCACCCCCAACGGTGCCGGCCGCCACCGCCGGCCTTGCAGCTCCACTGCTGAGCCCCATGAGGGGCCCGGCGGTGGACCTGCAAGGCCGGCGGGAGTGCAAGGAAGCCCCGTGAAGGCCCTCCCTGGCCCCAGGCAGGCAGGGGTGGGGAGAGGCAGGGAGGAAGCAACTTACCCTCCCTCTTCTCCTGCCTCCTCCTGGCTGAATGAGGGCCGGAAGCGGGGCCGGGGCGGCCGAAAGCAGGGGGCGGGGCTTCGTCATGTGTCCCGCCCCCCGGTACCTCACCCGGGGGAACTACGATCCCCCGTGATCCCCCCCGAAATGACCTCTGACAAGGACAGTAACTACTCCTAACTTCTGGCTCATATTCTGGCTTCCATATGATGTAGTTGGACTTCAGATTTTTTGGGGGAGGGGTTTTTGAGAGAAACATTATCATAATTTATTTATTGCCGCATGAACCTGTAGGATTAGTGTTCTATGGGATAAAGGTAGTTAGAAAATGACAGTTTTTAAAAAGGAGAAATTAGACTGGGAGGAGGTTAGTAATACTCTCAGATTTTAAATCGATCTCCTCAGATTGACAGGAAATTGATACAGACGTGGGGGAAACAATTACTGCATGTTCAACTAGGATCGGCTGAAGGAAATCAGATTCTTTGTAATGATTAAGCAATTTCTGTTTCACACCTGCCTGGATGAAATGCATGGAAAAGTCTACTGACTTCCAAATCTCTGTCTCAGGTTTGGATTCTTATGATATAAATGTTATGTTTTGTTTTTAAATAAACCATTTAGTTAGTAAGCTTGTGTGTGGGCTTAAGGCACCCCATGTAGGCCAGAAGCTG